AGAACGCTTGTAATTTAGCCAGATTGCGGCACACTTTAAGATAGTGGAGTTAAAACACAAAGTTTGTTAGCGGTTTGGCGTTCGGCATGGTCCCTAACAGAGACTAATTATTAAAAAAACCTCGTGCAGTTCGCATTGAATAAGTGAATGTAAACAATCATCATGTTAGGCAATGTCATGCATATATACAAAGCCCTTGACACGACGAAGACGACAGCTATAAACATCATTGTTCATTGAAAGACTTATGGGAGTTTTAGACGTCGTCTAGGCCAGATCAAAACTGAATTATAATTTCCTTCATTACTCCGGCGTCAGCGACGGAGTTGAAAATTCGCCTCGGTTTTGTTTTGTTTTTTGTTTTTTTGTTTTTTTTTTATTTTTCGTCGTCGCAAGTCTGAAATGGCGCGAAACATTCTAGTATTTGAAACGTGTATGTGACCGTATTTATCTATGTCCTAGTCTTATCTCCCAAGAGTTGTGGTGTACAGCTTTGGCTAATTTTCCGATGCGCGATTCGATTTCGCTCGCATGATACGGCAATTCCTCCAAGAGGAACGAATAAACTGTTGTTTTCATGCTGTTCGATTAAGTTTAGATTGAATTGGGGTCAGAATATACTAATACATGTTGATTCTTGTCCTATTTTAATAATATCACTGCTATTTCGCCGTTTAACAAGATGATGTGGTCGTGTATGGGCGCGTTGACACGTCGTAGTTTGCACAGGATTGAAGATTTAATATAACTATATAAGCGCGAATTCCAAAGGCAAAGTGTAAGACAAAGCGAATGTATCATGCGGTTTATTTACATTTTTGAACAATTGAACTTCTACACTTTTTAAAGTACGATGTGCTTCTGAATTTCGCGATCGAACATTTATAGGTTCGCAAGGCATCTAAATGCGAATATGAACTGTATTGTTTATGTTCAGAAGCTCTATATTAAAGACTGGCACGTGCGCCGGAGTTAACGCCAGAACAGGCGTCTTGTTGCATATGACTTCGACACTCGAAAATATCAAGTAACTTTATATTTATGAGAAAAACGTTTATTTTTTCCCAACTGTGAATTAGAATGTAAATTTTCGGCCCTTTTTCCAGTTTTATCGAGACGCCTTATGACGTCATGATCTAAGATCAGCTGAAGGGGTTTCGACTTTCGAAAAGTGAGGCCATTCTAAAACAGGAAAGTCTTTTGATTCAGACTGCAAATGTTATACGTCAAGATAGTGTCAAGGTCATCAACGGACAAAATGAGACAAAACACTCAACAAAAAAGTGACATACTGATCATTTTCACCCAATACCCGTCACAGATTATACAAACTGGCATGACTTTATTTATTAAAACTCGCCGTCGGCCAGTTAACGAACCTGGTAACGATAACTATAGTCACTTAGGAATAAATCGATAATTATCAAACTCAAGTCAGGGCAAATATATTGGCCGCTATAGTTGCAATTTGAGAATTATGGTCAGGATGAAAATCAATAATGCAATTTTTCGAATTTAATTTTTTCTTCTGAATTTACATTGTGCGTGCGTCAAGTGTTACAATAAAGGTCGACACACAACGGACGCGATTTAATTTGCCACCGCGACGCGATTTCAGTTTTCAAAGTTAGTTAATTTTCAAAATGTTGTGATATTCTTGGTTATTACTGAATGTTAGTACATTTTGACTGGCCAGGTACCCATATCCCACAAAATATTCTTTCACAATCGAATATATTTGCTTCAGAGAATGGAAAATTGCGTCCAGTGTGTGTCGGCCTTAAAGCCTTGATCGTTATTGTCGTGATTCACATTTGTGATTCGTGAATAAGTCACATTCGAGAATCAGAATGCTCCTTGGGTTTATATTACCATATATGTTTCACTCTTTTAGGAATAACTTTAAAAGAAATTATCTATTGATACTCTACCAATCATCATAGCTTGACATATGATTCAATTAAGATAACCTCAAGCTAAAATTAATTATTCATTTGCAAAATAAATGCATGAAATACAAAGGTTAAAAAAGCTGTAAAACAGCTAAATCTCGATTCTCGAAGCAACTGAAGAAAAAAGCTATGATATGTTAAAATGTATATGTTGCATTGTGTTATTTTCTATATCTCCATTATGTTTGAGAATTAAAAAAAAGGACCTGTTTGGTTTTGTTTTTTAGTAGTTTTTTATAAGTTTTTACCTAGCAATTAATGAACACATACGCCCACTTTGTTCTATTAAAATTTACCAATCACATTTTTATGTAAAAACTAGTACAAAATTGGACCAATTTAGTCAAAATGTGAGGAAGATGTATAATTTTAAAATAATTTCCATACCTATTTTACGAAATTTATAGCAGAACTGCCGTGTCACTAGCAATAATGAGCTAAACAGATGAAGAACGATTAAATCACGTAACAAGCCGTGACACCTGCAGGGAATTCTGGTCTTAGTAGCCACGGTGGGAAATTTTGAAGCTTGAACTTTTCACCGTGACTACGAAGCCCAGAATTCCCAGCGTCACGACTTGATACGTCATCATTCATAAGATCTATTCAATATTTTCAGTACAGTTTCGGTATATCACAACAAACTTACAAAATACTTATTTTTTCCGTAATCTTCTTAAGGGAGTCGGTTTAACCGACATAAGTTCTGCGGAAATGAACCGCCGTCAAATTTCAAACATTCAACTGTTTGAATTTCATTCATTTTCATCTTTGAACGTCTGAATTCACATAATTCAATCCCAAATATTTTTCCCTTTGCGATAAAATTAATTTTCTTTGACAATTTGACTAAAAAGTCCACTTTTAAGTATTCGCACCTCCTGGTTCACGCGCGGGATTCCAAGTGTTCGCATTAAAAAACTTGACTTTCGTTTTTTCTGCTCCTTGCGTGGTTGCGCTTCCCCGAGCAAATGACCAATGTTAGTCGAATCCATGACTAAAATTGTTTTAGTTTTGCACTTCTTTTCCCCTTATCTCGATCTTGCTATTCGAGTCTTTTCAACACAGTTCTTTTTTGTTTATAATGCCTTTTCCATTCTAATAAGTTGTAAGACATTATTGTACTGACTGAAAAGTGCATATGATACTTTCAGTGCTAGTTAATTCAATCGTTACTTTTTCTATTCTTCAATCCCATCTCAACGATCCGCCACCGCCTACGATACGACATATTTGACGTTGAAAAGTCGAAATGCATTTAACCAATTGCGATAACTGCTGTTTTTTAAATCTTTGTTGAGTTAGTCAGGAATATATATCCAGAATCCAATCTCCTTGCAGCTTCTTAAAGCATTTCCATTCTTTCTTCAACGTTGAAAGAGTAATACAATTATAAGCATTTAGTATAGTTTGTTGTGATGCGAAAAACTATATGAAAACAACGTTCACCGCAATGCGAGTAATTTTAATTAATAGCTTGGGTGCAGTTCTGTTACAAATTGATTATACATGAGATATGTTTACGAATATTCCTGGCAATTTCTTCACACAAAGATGTGATGGCAAATTCATGGCTGACAAAGATGGCGATTGATTTGAAACAAAATTATATGCCAAATCGTTGTTAATGCAGCAATGTGCAACATGCCGAATATTAATGCAACAACGTTCAACATACCATACCCATGTTAAAACAGTGCGATACTTCTCAATTGATACAACGTAAAAAACTAGAATTGTAGGATGACATTAAATAATGTTAAAAAATGAATGCGCAGTGCCTATCAGATATATTTTTGGTTACAGGAATGATAATTATTCTTCGTGAGCGCCCAACGTTTAATTGTTTTAAATTTAGTTCCTATATTAGGCGTTAAAGTGTTGTTGAGCAAAATAAAATCGTCTTAGTGTTTAGTTTACGTAATTTTTTTGCCTGATTTCGGTCTTTTAATACTACTGCAAGGCATTACTTTAAAAAGTTAATTTATTAATAGACATTGATTATACTTATAGCATCATTTTATGATAATGACATTAAATATATATAATTGGTTACATTAAAAAATACATTATATGCTATTTATAACCCTATATTTGGGCCCATCATACAAATAACTCTAATGTGCCTGACTTATAGGTGACGTTGAATTAGAGTAAAATGTCGGAAATACATTCCGATGTAATGCATGTTCACTGAAATTTTGGTATATAAACACAGAAACGAGACACTCAATGTTGCTATGTAATACCTTTATCCTATTACTTGTGCGTGTGTTGTGGGGAGTTAGGATACACTGAAATATTTTTTCCAATTGAAACAGATTATCAAAGTTACGGTTGGTTGGCTACGACGAATTGAGGATGATGTGTTAACGCATGAGATCACGTTCATCCATCATCGATTTCTAACATGTTGTACTCCTTCTGAAGATCTTCCTTGACATCTTTGAACGAATGTCTTTTCCAAGCGGTGGGGATTTCAGGTTCTTTGCGTTTGTAATGGTCTGATAAATCCTTGGAAAATGTTGCCATAAACCACTGCCAATAAGTGGATGCTTCAAATGATGTATCGGGTGGAATGGACCAGGATTTATAATAATCATTGACCGACTGATAATCCTTGCAAAGATGCCATTCTCCTGATGTGTCTGTATTTTTAAAACGTTTCGTCTCGTGAGCTACTTGGTTTGTGCAAATGTTGATGTCCATTATATTTGTTTTGTGGTCACCGTAACCGCTCACTCCTTGTGGGCGATGGATTCTTGTTGAGTGGCTGCCCGCATGATTGTGAACGGTTTGATCACATAAGCCTTTGCAGAATGGACAGTATGCCTCACAACCAAACATCGAGGTTAATAAGTAAGCGTGTGGGGATGGATTCCAATTTCGGATAGTCTTGGAATCCACTTCAGATTTCATCAAGCTGTCTAATAAAAGTATCAGTTTCTCGTCAACACTTTCCTTAAACACGTCAAAGTCCGTCAGAACTTCTTCGATTACAACCACTGCAAACATGTCATTCGTTATGGGCAATGCATGGCACTCTTTCACAAATATCTGGATCCAAGATTTCAGGTTCCCACCTCTGGTTTTCGTTTCTTTGTTGGCTTTTGAAATGGCTTCGCATATAGGAGTTTTAAACTTTTCCACAAGATTTTGAGAAGAAGGTTAATTGAGACGTTACCTTTATTCAGGCAATAGTTTTGAATAGATTGTCGCAGTTTCTTCTTAAGAAAATTCACCGGATCACTAAGGTAAGGAATATACGGTTCAAGCTTACCCTCCTCACCAAGTTGAATGAGAACATTGGCATGGAATTGACCTTTGCTTTGAAACATACTCTTTTTCAATACTTCTTTTGCCACTGCTGGGCCCATACTCTTGTTAATTTCTACCTGAATTGGATTCTTGAGCACATCAACGAATGAAGTTGCAGCCAGGACTTCCTTTCTCATCTTTTTGCACAGATTGAGAAAATGAGCTTCCAATTTTGGTCGCAGGGTTCTTTCAAGGTTCCCTCGAATATCTCGTTCTTCCAGATAACGTTCTTCCATCTGGGCAAACATTTCATAGGTGCTGCCAAAAATATAGAGCAAGATGTCACATCTCAAACCATTAAAAAATCTAAGGGAATAAAACTTACTTTCTTCTTCAATAGTGGTAACAACCTTGTGGTACAATTGTGTGAGATCATTGCGGGTACACCTAACTCCTGCTCGTGATGTAGCCCTCACAAATTTTAACGCCTCATCAATTGCTTTATCCCGGATACTTCGTGCGGAAGAAATAATTGCATGTTGATCTTGGTCAACTTTGCTTCGATTGCTATCGTAAATTTGACCAACGTCAATCATAGGAACAGGTTCTTTGAAGGCTACTACAGACGAATTTTTCATTCTCAATTTTTCATTCATCTCACTATGTAGATGAGCATCGGTGTCGCAAAGAACCCTCAACATTTCGTTCTCGATGTCAGTTTGCCTTTCCTGGAATTGTGGGACACATACAATCCACTGCTGCCATTCTTTGTCGAACGCTGCTTTGCATTTCTCTGAATCTTCGGTATCACGAGCTGAAGTTATAAACTTTCTAGCATTCCGAATGAGTTTTTCTTTGTAGATTCGCTCCTCCTCAGCGGCGTCCTGACGATTTTGTAGATAATTAAACGCCGAAGTACAATTCTTGCTGATCTCCATCGCTTGCATTTCTTTATGTTGGTTGATTTTATTTATGATATATTCTCTCCACTGCTCAAGAATTGCCTTGTCTTCACTGTTGTCAATGAAGTTTTCCATTACTTCTTTCATTTTTACTCCAATATCTTCTGCTTCACGAGGTATCTGTTGCTTACTCTCGCTCCATTCTTTGATGCGATCTTCACGGGTAGAACATCTTTTCAAAGCTGTCTCAATTTTTCTTTCAAGGTCTGTCATGCCTATCACCATCAACTTTACGAACTCCTGAAAGTACTTTCGGTCCAAAGAGGTAAAAGCTTTCACTTCCATTATATTTCGAAAACTAAATATAAAGTTCTCCTTTAGCATGGCTTTCCACAAAGCGCAGACTCTATCACGAAACTGAGAAAAGGAATGTCGAAATATCTCCTTGGAACACATATAGCTTATGATACTATCTTTCATTCTTTGAACAGCTCTTCCATATTCTGGGTTAACTGGAGCCATTGGTGGACTTCCTTTGAGAAGATTTGGAATGTAGAATACGTCTTCGTTTTCATTGAATGAAATCACATCATCTAGCTTTTCAAATTCGTGTTCACAAGTTTCTTGAATAGCAGCAATCTTCGTCATTCTATCAAGATCGAGTTTCAGGTTTGAACGATCAACGACCAATTTATCTGTCGCATCCGTAGCCGCAACATTTTGATGAACAATTTTGCAAGTTTTCTTCTTGCTAGCAAGCCTCATCTTCAAGAAAGCGTGAACGGCTATTTCTAAGAATTGCTTCATGTCATTCTGATTTTCTCCGAATATATTCACTATGGTTAAATCTGCCACACCGATTGCAAAAGTAGCCAACTCATTGTCGTGCTCTCGCAACTGATGATCACCGGATCCTTTAAGACCTTCAGTATCAATGATCAAAAGGTAATTAAACTTTGAGGCAGCCTTAAGGGAATCACTAACTGGAATAAGGCTAGCAAATGCGCTTCGAGTACACCTCCCTGCACTGACTGGAAGCTCTAAACCGAACATTGTGTTCAAAAGCGTGGACTTGCCGGAACTTTGGATTCCTAAGACGGAAATAACAAATATTTTGGCGTCGTTCGTTTTTTGCACTAACTTACTATACACAGCGTTAAACCAACGCAATGGCATGTACGATGAATCACCATCGAGTAACTCAAGAGGTAGCCCTGATAGTAAGATTTCCGCAGCAGCTCCTGCATAGTCGAATTCGGTATTCTCAAGTTGGTATAACTGGGGGAGTTCTCTAGTGATGTGTTCTAAGCCGAACGAGCTTTGTGCAATTTTGTCTTCTAGCTGTTTCAAGTATTTTTTTTCATCTGAATTCGGTGAGGTTTGCTTGTTTTCCTTCTTAAAGCGGACCAAAGCATCACGATATTCTTGATGCAATTTTGCCACAGCTTCCAGTGACATCTTATCCAATTGATGCCTTAACGTACTCAGGAGACGATACTGTTCCTCTTGATTCAGCTCTGTTAAACGATTAAGAAAATCAAGAATTTGGCCGTCCATCTCTTCAAAAGACTTACGTTGCGCGCTTTTTTCGTCTTCAATATCTTTGTAGATTTTGTCTGTATCTTTCGGACGCTTCGGAAAATACATTTCACGCTCTAGATCGGCAAATACGTGAACGTGTTCCTGTAATTTCAGAAGTTTTTTCGCTTCTACGATTCCTTGTTTAAGCCAAGAGTCTACGTACGGCTCCAATTTGTAGTTGGAATGACCATCGCCTAGGGAGAATGCTTAAATCACCAGCACTGGCTCCAAGTTCCACAAGCGGCGTCGCCTTGACTTTGTGGAGATTCGCTTGGATATCTTGTCGTATTGCTTGCAAAAACTCGTATTCGTTATCTTGCTCGACTTTGGTGATCAAAGAGAACTTTTCAAGATGCGTTCTTGTTACGTCATCTATATACCTAATTGCATGCGGTTCTTTGAAAATGAGGATTACTTTTTGCTTTCGATTTTAATAAATCGTCCAAAATTTCCTTCACGTAGAATTAGGATCTTCCGTAGGTAACAAAAGGCATAACACCGATGAAATTTGCGACAGAAGGTGAAACTGTTGTTTTTAAAATAAGTAGCATCTCCTCTCAGATTCGCAATACAAATCTCATTTTTCAGTGCTTGTTCTTTATCTTCGCTAGGAAAATACCATGTTATTTCAACCAATCCATCGACGATTCTTCTCTGGTAGTTCCCTCCCTTCAATTTTTTGTGGAAAAAGAAATTATGATGACCACAGGCGTCGCGCATAATTTTGTTTATCAAGGATGATTTGGACATAGTTTTGCCGATGCGAAGGAAGGAAACGATTGGAAACGGACATTCCGTTGCAAACACTTGCTTCGTGTTGGCTTTGTCTTCGCGATTGATCCCTTTCCAAGTTTTTGTGATACCCCGTAAGGCGGATAGTAGCATTGTGACTTTCTCAGAGCTCGCATCAGGGTCGGGTAAAAGAAATGGAACACTTAATTGACATGCGGACAATTTTATAACAAGATATTCTCGTAAAAAATCATCTGAACAGTGGAAGACAGCAAGCATTGCATCCATCGGATTTATACCTACTACATCGACTTTATCTTCATAACTACTTTGTTTAGGTTTAGTTTTTTCATTATCTGAGGCGGGTGGTTTTAATTTAAATTCACGAGCATTGTAATCAGCTACCATTAAGGTTTTTAAAATATAACCTGGTACTTGGCTTGGGGATGTTAACTCAGCATCGGTTAATGTATGATTATCGATAGTTCGTACTCTTTTTAAAGTATATTTTGAAGTGTAATCTAAGGGAAAATCACTGTAGGGCTTAGACTGATCATGATTAAAACTAGAAGAATCGATATCCTGTTCGTTTATGTCATCGTTCCGGGTAGATGAGCATCGAAGCTACACCGGATTGATTGATATCCTGTTCGTTTATGTCATCGATCCGGGTAGATAGCATCGAAGCTTCTCCGGATTGATCGATATACTGTTCATTTATGTCATCGATTTGGTTAGATAGCATCAAAGCTACACCGGATTGATCGTTACCTCTGGGTTCATTGGTCTCTCCAGACCCCCGGAGTGATGATAATGAATGCATCGATATATACCCCGGTTGTTCTATGAAGAGAAATAAACGCTGTAAGGCTTGCTCGTGCTGTGAATCATGACTAAATCCCTCAGTCTCAGATAGTAACAAATGTGTTTTTGTTTTCGTCGGGAATGACGTCTGTTTAAAAATTTTCTTGACAATGTCGATCAGAAATGATTTGCTTTTCTTTTAAGTGTATCCAATAGTTAGAATAAAATACATGCTATATTTTGTGTTACTGTTATCTATAAAAAAGACTGTAAATTGAATCTAAAGACAACGCATTAAGTACTGATTCATAATTGCCAGAGGACGGGATCGTACCTACAAAAAGGCTTCAATTTCCGCCATCTTGGCTTCAAACTTCCGGTGCGGAGCTAGCGTTCAAGTCTTATTTGAGTTCACTGAATACGATATACACAGTGACATGTGTAATTCATACCTGCAATTACCACTTCCTCATTTCGTGGTTCATTTTGAGCACGGTTGATAGACCTCAAACTAAGACTTTCTTCATGTTCAACCGCAGTTGCTATGGTTCCACCGTGGTGCTCATTTCTTTCTTCTGTAGTATCTATAGTGCAATATGTAAAATGCACTCCGCTTTCCTTTATTGCAAAGTGCAAACGGCCAGAGCCTCTTCTCTCCATCTTCGCTACAAAATATGATTAATAATAAATCAAAAATATATCCTTCCATTTTTTAATGAATAAGGCCTCTTTTTTCACAGCAGAGTATACTACGATACAAACCAAGATTCCTTCAACTCATAATGATATTTGTCATAAAAAAGATAAGTTAAATAATCCTGAAAAGGGCCCACACAAAATCTCCCTGTGTCGGCAATTACAGTCGTGCGAATGGACGACTTGCGCTTTGGACTAAATTTTGGTGGAAGTAATTAGGGGGAAATAAATCATTACAGCTAGAAAGATCTTACTGGGAAATTTTGTAAAATACGGAAAATATAGCCATGCGAAGTTGGCATAGTTTGTATACTTTTGTATTACGTGTTACATGCAAACTTCCGACCGAAATACAAAAGTATACAAAATTCGTCAACTTCGCATGGCGATATTTTCCATAATTTACAACAAATCCCAGCCAAACTTGGTAGTTCTACTAATTTTTGTAAGCTTTTTCAGAAAATGTCCTTTTTATCGTCGATGTAAGAAATTAGCCTAAAGTCCGATGCGTCCATAGAAGCGTTTGGAAAAATGTTGACCAGTTCATTTCCTAAACTGAAGGAAAACATCTGAACAGTTCCTCAACAATTTGAAAAGTTCCCTAAAAAGTTCTTAACTCCCTGTTTTATTGATATTTCAGATATTTATAGCTATTGAGGGGCTTATCCACCTTGGAATTCTGTCCGAAATCGTATTCAGGGACGGAAAACTCATTTTAGGGGGGTTGACTGAAAAACGGGTCTGAATATGAACAGTGATAGGTAAAATTTAGACGTATGTCAGGTCGGGTAGAGCTAAAAAAGGTTTCGTAATCAGTACGATAATCACTCAGTTGTTGATTTCCGTTAACTCATAGTTCCTTCTCCCGGCGTGTTGCTAATTTAGAAACGCGTCGACCGTATCACAGACGAGTTTCCTGTGTTTAATATAAACTCGGCTATACTATGTCAAGTTGTGATAAGAGTGTCGAGACCATCCGTTTATATTCCTCTATTATATTGTTGAATGTTGAAAGCTGTTCATCATGTTTAACGTATTTGCAAATAAATTTCACATTTCGCCACTTTTCAATCACTCGGCAAACATGCATACTCGCTGAACAGCGGCCATTTTGACAATGGTAATTATTTTGTTTTCTTTCGCGCTGGTAACGTTTATCACATGTACTGAAATATTAGCAATGTAGCTAAAATACGCCCATCATCACCTCATACATGTATGCATTCTAGCTAAATTCAAGAAATAGGAGTGATAGCTACAATAGAACATATTTGATTTATATGACCTTTGCTTTCTTAAATAAATATATATTGTGCTTCTTAGAAATGTTGCGTGGCTTATATTAGTATACATTTACTTTAACTAAAACTGGTGGTTTTAGGAAGCATTAGAATCATGTATAGTAAGGTGATTTGTTTTCAAAGCTCTTTGCGAATCACCATGACGATGAAAAATTTGAATTATTTCATTAAGAAAAGCTAGACAATGAATTTGGTCTTATGATGAATGAAAATTCGTAATGCATAACGAAATTACACGTATCAGCTCACAGTGGGGTTGATTACTGAGTTTATTCATATAGACCACCCTATATAAGTTTTGTGTTTATTTCGCGTTGGAAGACGCGTGTTTTCGTCCGCAGTACGTACGTTAGGTGGAAAAATGGAGGGGAAGGGGGGAGCTGTGTTCAAATAGGAGATATTATGCAATCTTTTCAAAAGTTTTCTTTTGTCATAGCTTTATACTACACTGGCCCCCTGTGAAGTCGTATGCAAATAAGGTGTGGAGACTTTAGTGAAAAGACGGACGTTTGAAACGGGTCTTAGTTGTATATTAGTTTCAATTAAGGTTATAAAAAATAGCAACAGGTCTTCGATTGATACTAGAACATTTTTTACTTGAGCGAACAGAACTTGTATACATGTTACTTATTGTTAACTTTCATCGCCATCGGTGCATGCTAGCTGTTCTCAAAGCTAGCTAGTTATGCTTTTTTTTAAATCTTTAGTCAAATTTGTTAAATTTTGACTTGACTTTAATTCGACTTGACTAAAAATTCGTAAATTTTGACTACACCTTAACTTCCTGTTAATAGCGAAAGTGCTGTGTAATGTATATCTAGCCCTACATTTCTATTTGGAAGTCCACAGCAGGAGACGAAGCCTCTACAATACCTCAATACATTTAAAATCAAGCACAGCTCGCCTTCATTCTCGCTTAAGGCTATAATGCACTGTAATTAAGCTTCAATATCTAATGTCTTTCACCCTGGCTAATATATTTACAGTATTTCATGATTTTATCGTAGCATAAAGAAAGGACGCGCCGTATTATTTGCCACGTTGCTATCCGGGAAGTATTTCAAGCATGCAGATCTGAAGGAAAATTAACTCCAACAGTCCAACAGTCAACGACGGTGTATTCATAAACGTCCAAACTAGTTTTTTTTTTATAAAAAAGTGCAATCTAGTTTTGTAAATTAAAGTTATTTTACGATGGGGTAATGTATAATTGAGTGAATACTTACATTTTAAATGTCGCTCCACTGGCTGGAAATTCCGGTCTTGATAAAATGATAATACTAAACTTGATAATAAGACTGAGGTTTATTATGCATATCGCAGTGCAATTTTTTGAGGAACGATAAAGTTTATCGTTTTCACGACATTTTAACGCCAAGCAGAGACCTCTGTTGAAAGGTCGAACTCTTGATACCAGGACAAAGGTAATTTGAATTATTTTTATACGAAATTGTTGGGCCTTGACTTTGGCTCTTTGTTCAAAGTGAAAATGGAAATTAACCAATGAGTGTTAGGGAGTTCGCATCAAGAACGGAAGTAGATTTTATGATGTGCCCTTCATTTCATTATGAAGAGTAACGTCATCCCTCATGATACGTGTACCAGCAAGCACTTCAGTTTCCACGATAGGTGATCTGGGACCCGGCCTAAAGTTTGTCACACACATAGAAGATATAGTTGTTTTACTTACAAACTTTGCTATTACGCAGAACAAGACCCATAATATACTTGCACGGTGAAAAAGCATATGCCGTGCTAAACGGTCTTTAGATTTACCCAGCCAATCTTAACAATATATACTTATAGCACTGATCAGATACACCGGAAACAAAGAACGGTAGCTAGTCATGCATACTATATAAATTATGCGTAAATAAACACGGGTATAAGACCTGACACAAAAACAGTTAAACGAATGTTCAGGGATATTGACCCTCACAGGAATCTATAAACGTCACGTTGACTTAGGAATTGTTTTATCTAATTTCAGAAACTCGTGACGAAAAGCTTTATATATTCAAAACGCAACATCGTATGTCTGCTATCAGATAAATTATTTTGTAAGAATATACCAAGCATACCGTGCATTCCAGATATATACAAGTTAATTATCAACTATCATTGGATTCTACATCAGCATGCAGTATGTTTGAATATGTTGTTTGTGGCCTATTTTTGGGAGGGGTCTTAAAATGACTGCGATTCTGCAAAGACTATAATAATGAGCGACCGTAAATCACGTGGTTGTGTTTCAATAGAGAGCTTCAGCAGCGACTATGACTACCAGTACGAGATTCGTCATTCTCGCTCGTTGTTTGCTTACGCCATCAGCCAAAACCGAGTCGTTGGACTTTTGAGTACGATGTTTTCGAAACTCGTACTCGAAACAGCTCGGCGGCTACGAGTTTTGGGTCATGCGTATGCAAACAACGCGCGAGAATGACGAATCTCGTACTGAAGGGACTTTAAGATACACCAAATCTGCGACGCGGAAGTGACGTGAAATCAGCCGTGTTCGGTGTTAGAAACTCAGTTTTAATTAGTTTTCCATACAGTTCTCCAGAGTTGATACTTGTGAGGACATGGTAGATGTTTTTGACTATGCGGTCACACTGGATAAATTGATGCCTGTGAAGAAAATTCGTAAAAATCTGGCAGACCACCCTTGGATGACTCAACACCTGAAATCAATGATCATAAAACGACAAAAAGCATTTCATAAATATGGAACGGATTCAAGTCAGTATAAATTTAATAGAAATATTGTTAACCGCGAAAGAAAGTGGTGCAAAGCAAATTTTATGTATAGTGGGGGGAGATTAAACGCTTATGTGGTGCACAGAGAAATACCACTTCTCTGACTGATTTCATAAAAGACGAAGCTGTCAAAGATCTTTCAATGAAGGAGACAGCTAACGCAATTAACAAAAGTTTTTAGATCCTTTAGAAGAATACCGTTGGGCGAAAACCCTCGATAAACTACCGTTAGAAAGAGAAAATGTGGAGCTTCCCAGATATCAGAATAGCGTGTACAAAATGTCTTTAGCAAAGGTAAATCCGTCAAAGGCAGAAGGACCAGATGGTATTCCGAATTGGTTATTGAAAAACTACTAAGAATTCCTTGCTTCCCCTGTAACCAAAATAATCAATGCCTCTTTTCAAGAACAACGGCTTCCTTCAATTTGGAAGATTGCTGATTGCTAAAAAAATCTACGGCCTATTTCACTGACTACTTGTTTGTCAAAAGTTGCGGAAGAGTTCATTGTATGTGATTATGTTAAACCAGCTATTCTAAACATGGCAACTGGTTTATCCACTTCCCACGCGTTAAAACACATGATTCACAAATGGATAACATGAACCATGAATTGGTAATAAAGCTACAATTAGAATTCGACTATCGTAAAGCATTCGATCTATATAGATCAAAATTTCTTATTGGACTAGCTTTGTAAATTGGATTTACCTAGAAGTGTTATTAATTGGATCATCGACTTTTTATCAGATCGTCTACAAAGAATCAAACTTGCTGAAGGATATTTCTCAGAATGGGGATCTGTACCCTCAAGAGTGCTCCAGGGCACAAAGCTAAGTCCCTGACTTTGCCTTGTTTTAATCAACGACTCAAATTTATCCGATATTCAGAATGCTGATATTTAGAAATACGTTGACATTACTACAAATTGTTACAGGAGGAAGCAAGAATAACGCCCAAATTATGGGGGATAGAGTTATCCATTGGTCCAAAGAAAACAAAGTAAAGTTGAAGAAAGATAAGTGTAAAGAAATAAAACTGAAATTCCTTCGCGAAAGATCAGCCAGACCTCAATCCGATTGTTGTTAATGGGGGTTGTTTGGAAGTTGTAAAAAGTGCAAAGCTGCTTGGTTTAAAGTTGACACATAACCTTTTGTGGACTGAACATATCAAATGACACAATTAAGAAAGCTTCGAAACGGTTATATTTTCTCATTTAATTGAAAAGAGCTACGGGACATGTGATAGACCTAATCCTCTTCTACACAACGTGCATTACATCAGTATTAACTTATGCCATTCCTGTTTTTTTAGATGGGTTTGCGAAGTATTTGAAACTTGAGCTAGAACGCGTTCAGAAAAGGGCTTTCTCAATGTTTAAATGTTTAAATTGTTTAATGTTTAAATTATTGCCTGCCTAATTTAACGCTCCATACGATTTACGAGAGTCTGTTACATTTTGTTATCCCGGAATGGAAAACAAATCGCTACAGGAGCACTTTATAATGTCAAACTGTATAAAAAATATTCATACTTCTTTTTAAACAATTAATATATTTTGTAACGTTATTTATAGGTTTAGTTCATAATGTCCTGATGATTAAATTGGGCTTATAATCACATTTAATAATAGTTTTGTACTACTTGAAAATTATTATGAAAATTTTTAAAATTGTAAATATGCAATTCAGCTCTCGGGCTAGTTATTTTAATAAACATGCATACATACATACAACATACATACAAACGTTTTAATATTAGAAAGAAAAAAATTACTGACAGAGCTCGTACATTTTTTGCTTGCCTTCGGGTGATAGCTCGTGCTTTCTGCTACGAAATAGCTACATAGCTATCTTTCTGCTGCTACAATTCTCCGTATGTAAATTATTTTGTGCTTATTATGGTGAATATTTAAATATATATATTTGTCAGAAGTATATGTTGGAAAATAATTATGTGATTTGCAAATGGGAGTTGTGTGAAAGTATTGAAAATAATCAGTCTATATTATTTCGATGTGATTTTGAATGGTGCACATGATGCACGTTAATTAATGATGCAGCTTGTATATTATTGAAAGCCACATTCACTTGTACACGGTTTAACATCAGAACGTACTGCTTCTAAACTGAATCGCAAATTAGGACAGTAGTGGACACCTTCGTGGGTGTTGCTTACATAGGCGAAAGGAATCTTACTGCCATCCTTCCATATCATATAAACTAAACATCCCGAGTCACTGCTTTCAGCAAAGGCTTCGCCACCCTCTCCTCTAATTCGATAGAAACCACGGTTCATTCCGTTCTCAAATGTCTTGCCATACGGTGTAGAAAGCTCTCCTTTCCGCCCTTTAGTCTCTGAACCAATTTTTCCCACAGGAATAGGTCCACCCATCTCTTTAAACTTCTCTACGACTTCCTTTTTACTAGCTAATGGTTTATCAATACCTTCTTCTTCAAATAGAGCAGCAGCATCATCACAATTAATATCATCCTCCAGTCGGACAAGAGCAATGTCATGCCTGTCGTTATATATACCACGAGAAAACTCGCCTGGGCGTCTTGTTGTTCTTTCTGTACAAACGAAAGAAACGGCACCTACACATCTCTTTGAGCCTTTTTCGTAGTCTCTTTTTAGTTTATCGTGTGCTTTATTGATGTTCTTCGGTAATTTCTTGTTGTAACAAACATGGTAGGCGGTTATTCCGTAGTGTTTTATAGAGGGAAGCGATCGGGCAACAAGAATACTTACAGTTCCATTTTCTTTTTTCTTATTATAAATTTTATCTCCCGGTCTTGGTCCCCGAAGAAAGCCAGATGGAAGGAGCGATTTCTTGCTGCTTTTCTTCTCTTCTTCAAAGACCTTTTCTTGGATAAAGTCAACAAAAGAGGCGATGTGGACACCAAAAATTCTTTTCAACACAACCATCGACGGCGCTTCGTTATGGGCGTAGGTAATGTATATTTGCCACGTTTTCTCTTCTTTGTCATCAAAACCGATTTCAAAATCTTTCACCCATGACAAGCTAAGGGATACGTTGAAGAAAAAAGCAAATATATTTCAATCTACAATTGAGGAAGTCATGTATACATGCATGTATGATGTAAATTGAGGTCTTAAAAAAGTAAACATAAAAGAAATATAAAATTATAATGTTTAGGAAAAATATTAATGTGATTAAAAAAATTTTTATATTATAACGATGTCAAAATTTGTTTTCAGTCTTTATAGGTTACCTTGACAACTCTTTCTCGTATTTATTTTTCATTTCGTAATTTGTGTCAAATATGGTTTTTTCAAACAACTCAGTCTTCGAGACTATATAAGAATACAGAAAAAAAAGATTCAATCTATTAATTATACAATGGACTGTTTAATAACAAAACTTTTGGGAGAATATTTAACTCCTCATAAAGAGACTAGAATGGATCAGTTGATTCATGAATGAAATTATTTTTGTGATAATTCAGGTCTTTTTGCACGAGAGTATAGCTATAAGGGTAATTAATTCCAAGTATGTTTGCCTCCAATCAACTTCATGACAATAATAGCGCAGTTCTTTTATATATAGTTATTTTTTGACACTTTGTCTCCAATAACTTTGACGATTTACATTTAAATTATAGTGCAATTTCTGTATTATTATTACATAACAAAAGTCTAACATCACAAAAGTTTTGTTGCTAAATTTCGAATTAAAACAGGGACAGTCGTGTGGGTTGTTATTTAATGTATATATCCACAACGATTATTGGAGAAACAAAATTTATAGGCTGAGGCTACGAAACACCACCAGATTAAATTTGTGAATCAGTTTCATCAACTTATACAGAGCTTGACAAGTGAGAACTTTCGCTTTATTTTATTGGATCAATGCAAAAGGTTTTTCATACGCACGTATACATGTCATACTCGAAAAAGCTAGGCGAATAAAATGAAACAACTTAGTTTTCCGCATATTTAAGTATGCATTTATTGACCCATGTGATGAAGATTTGGAAATGCTTAAATTTTTTCGAGCATAAAAAACGCGGAAGTGGGAAGTAGCCCTAACTGAAATAACCTACTATAAATAACAACTAACAAATAACAACTCTATTGGTTATTCGTTTTCAAAAATATTCTTACTTTGAAAATCTGCTAATATGATTGCATGTTAGAGCTGTAGTAATTTATTCTTACTTACCCGTGCAGGATCCGTGACCGCTCAAAATTTTCGGCGCTAAGGGGAGGGGGTGTATTTCCCAATTTGGTTGTTAGCCTCTATTTTTTTCCTTAATGTAAGTAGTTTTTTCGCTTCATTTTTCAACTCTACTACGACCCAAATAAAAATTTTTGGGACACCCTGTTTCTGATCATTTGAATTAGTATAGTTACTTACCTTCCCCATATGTGATGAAGGGAAGGATGTCTTTGCCAAAAATATTTACGACGTCACTGATATTTGGTATATTGCCGAACTTGCAAACGATTTCCAAACGTTGTTCAATTGAGTTTTCTTCGTAATCTTTAATGAGTTTGAATCTTTCCAACCACTCTAAACTAAAACCAAACTGCCAGTAAAGTGGTAATAAAAAAACAGATGCCTATATTTGATTGAGGACTTCAGAGAATGAAAACAACCCGTTACCTTTGAAGTTTATTTTTGTAATCTTCCTTCAGGTTGGAGTCCTCGTCAAGAACCTGTGCCCAAGACCACTTTTCCCGAGAGCCTATGTTAAAAAATAACAAGTAAAATAAAACTCACACTGCACATTCGCAGTTCCCATCAGGGTTGGCCATCTTAAATGAATAATTCCTGAGCTCACTAAGCAGCAGTAAAAAAATTAAGCTTATACCTCATGTTCGTGACACACATTACCTTGATTGTTGTAAGGACCAGTGAATTCAATATAGGCTGGCTCCAAATTTTGTTTCAACGCTTGTTGATAATATTCATTAGCTTGTTTTAGATCACCTTTTTCATGAAAGATATCGCCGAGGTTTTTCCGACAGGAGGAAACCTCGCTATGATTCGGTCCTAAATGTTCAAGACGAATATATAGCGCCCGTTGATGATAATGAATGGCTGTTGTCAGATCACCATTATCTCGAAACACAATACCCAGGTTGTTGTATGAAGTAGCAATATCAATATGGTTTGGTCCTAATTGTTCTAATTGAATATTCAGCGCCAATAGATAATAATCACTAGCTTGTTTCAAATCACCTTTTTTCCTACACACATTGCCCAAATTGTTGTAAGAAGTAGCAACGGAAATGTGATATGGCCCTAATTGTTCTAATTTTATTTTCAGTGCCCGCTGATGATATTCATAAGCATGTTCCAGGTCACCTTTATCACAACACACCGAGCCCAGGTTGTTGTAGGAAGTGGCTATTTCAACATTGTTCTCTCCTAATTTTTTCAATCGGATTTCCAGCGCGCGTTGATGGCAATCACTAGCATTTTCCAGGTCATGTTTCATCCTACATACAATACCAAGGTTGTAGTAAGAGGTTGCAACATCAGTATGGTATGGTCCTACGTTTTCCAATTGAATTCCCAGCGCTCTTCGATGACATTCACTGGCAAGTTCTAAATATCCTTTCTCTCTACAGACTATACCCAGGTTGTTGTAAGAAGTGGCCAGGTCAATATGGTTAGGTCCTAATTTCTCTACTTGAATTTTCAGAGCTTTTTGATGATAACTTTCAGCATCCTCGAAATCACCATTATCCCTACATACCGCACCCAGGTTGTTGTAGGAAGTAGCAACAGTTATATGGTCCGATCCTAGTTGTTGTAACTGAATGTCTAATGCTTGTTGATAATAATTAACAGCATGTTTTAGATCTCCTCCATCACTACACACACTTGCCAAATTGCTATAAATAGTAGCAACGGCAGTGCGGTTTGGTCCTACCTGTTTAATTCCGAATTTCAGTGCTTCCTGATAAAAAAATTTGGCAAGATCGTAATTACCTTTATCTTGGCAAGCATTTCCTAAGCTGTTGTACAAGTAAGAAAGAGCTTGGAATTCTTTCCTATTCAATAACATTTTTTGAATTGCTTTCACCCACCAATTATAATCGTCGCATATATCTACACCAGCTTCATTGATCTGTTGAGATTTTCGAATTCCTTGATTTCTATAGATGTCGAAGTGAGTAAATTCGTCCTCGTTATCACAATTTAGCTTTTCAAGGTCCTCAGGACCGGAAATAAAGGATTGAGATAAAAGAAAATTGCTGCGTCTTCGTCTTGTTTTGATTTGTTCGATCTCTTCAGTGTGAAGGCCCAAGATTTTAAATGCATTTTCGACGTGAGTAGTCATAGCTTGATACTCTTTATTAGTGAGCACTCCCGGTAAATTATGTACAACTTCCTCTTCTAAGCTTTCGAGACTTGCAACTCCAGTCTTGATCGTTGGGTCAAGACTAGCACCAATTGAGTTGGAATGAAGAATTGCATCGAAAAGCACAGGAAAGTCCCACCGATTTGTATCTCCAAGTAGAAATTTGGACTGAAGTGTGTCTTTATTTGGCCTTGCTCGTTCTTTTTCGAGATGAAACAACTGACTACCACTTATGTTTGTGGCATCCCATGCGCCGAACTTACCCTGATAGCGACTGTTCCATTCTCGAATAAAAACCTTTTTCAATTCTTTCTTTGAAATTTCCATAATATAGTTCATGCAAACAAAGTTTCGTTTTTCCTCGCTTTCCCATGAAATTACAGACATTTTAACCCCTACAAAATTAATGTTGAAGAATCGTTAAGCGAACTTTTATCAAAATGCAGACAGAGAAATAAATTTCTCTTAAGTAACGTAACCTTTAGGTAATACAATAAGTACTATATGTATATATGCAATCCGTTTTTTCGTCAAACATGTAAATAGTATATATATAACCATGGCAACTATATAGCGCGACATTTAAACGACGTGTGGCAAGCACTGCTTGTTATACGAAACAAATTTGTAGTGAAAAAAATCATATCAAGTAAACCAAGTTTATTGTATTTTATACCGTCTTATACTATACCGTCCCATATATGAAATATTACAAAATTTTGAATATATTGTTCGCTACACTCTGTGTTTCACGTTTCTTCTGAAACGATCATCAGGCGATATATATATATAGATATATATATATATATAAGCACCCGCATAGCAGATACATTTACATAGCAAGCACACTCGAGTTGGTCCATACCAATAAGTCACATGACAGGTATATTGTTATACCTGATTTGGACAACATATATATATATATATATATATATATATATATATATATATATATATATATATATAATATATATATATATATATATATTATATATATATATATATAAATATATATAATATATATATATATATAAATATATATATATATATATATATATATATATATATATCTTGATCTTGTTGCACGTGCGCACGATGAAATTTCAAATTATTTATGGATATACAGGGTGTATCAAAAAAATGTCCCAAATGTAAAATTTTCGGTTTTTTGGATATTTTGTAGAATTTGGTAAATTTCTGTGTTCCTAGAGATAGTTAAGACTTATCTGGTATACCTAGGCCATTTTTGGTTTTTCATTAACAAAATTATGTTACCGGGGGGTGGTTCCTTTCCTTTGATATTGAGAGGGCTTGCGCGCGAAAATGTGAAGCTCAAATTGAGATATTTTTTAGCTGTCTAAATGTAGGAAAGCTTTTTAATAAACTGTCAAAGTTTCAGGAAAAATAATGCATAGTGGGAGCAACGCGCGACCCCTAAAGGTGACAAATATTCCATCGCGCAGTGGATTAAATGCATCGTCGATTTGAGCGTGATTTATTATTAATATCTTATTATTATTATATATATATATATATATCATTATTATTAATATATTATTATATTAATATCTTATTATTATCTATATATTATTATTATTAATATCTTATTCACAGACACTAGCCCCGTCAGTTACCATCAGGGCGTCTACTTAATTACATTATGAGCGTCTACTTAATTACACTATACAAATATAAACTATATATAATATGCAGAATTAACTACTTGAAATTATGAGCTTCTTGAAACAATAAATCGATTGAGCAGACTTAGCTTCACGCGAAAGACTATTCCATAATACAGCTCCTCTATATTTAAAACTTCTTTTGAGAAACTCTTTCTTAGGTCTCGGGATTGATGGATCAGTATCGTAATGTCTCAGGTTATAACCATTTTCAATTACACTACGCTCAGAAAAGGATTCGCGAAGGCACGGAGCAGTACCGTTATTTAGGATATTATAAACGAGAACTGCTTTGTTAGTTTTATATTTAGTTTCGAGATTTTTCCATCTAAGCTGCTCCAGGAGTTCAGAGGAGCTTGTATTGTAGTATGCCCCCGTTAACACCCGAGCAGCCCTATTTTGAAATTTTTGCAACTTTTCTTTCAATAATAGACCGCAATTGTCCCAAAGAGGGGAACAATAGTCAAAGTATGGTTGAATTAAAGCTTTGTAAATGGTGTGCATGGTTTCTTCAGGAACAAAGGGTTTAACTCGTCTCATTACACCTATTCCCGCGCCTACCTTTCTGCTTATTGCATTTATATGGGCTTCCCAATTAAGTTGTTCATCAATCTCGATGCCCAAATATTTAAAAGATCTATAACGGGTTACTGGTACATTTCCAAAGATCACTGACTTATTTCCTAGTTTATTTTGAATGTCATAGTTTATTTTGAATGTTATTTGTCTATTACAAACAAACTAAATTTTGAATATAAATAAATATATATATATATATATATATATATATATATATATATATATTATATATATTATATATATATATATATATATATATACAGTAGGAGGCAAAAGTTTGAGTCCAGTGACTGTATTTCTTTGTTTCAGCAGCATATATTAATATTCTACAGAAAACCTTACCGATAAGTGAACTAGAAAAAAGTAAACAAGTAAACAGAAAAATACATGCTGTACAACAACTATGAGATGTTATGATATTCATTTTTACGTATTTTAATGTGCAAACATGCATTTACATGTCATTGCTTAGTTCCCTCTTTTTTGCTCTTGAAATGACCTTTATTCTTGCTCGCATAGATTCCATAGGTTTTTTAATGTCACACGTTCAATACCTTGCCAGCATTCGTTGACCACTTGCCTCAAGTCAGCCTGGCTGGCGGGTCTGTGCCTCGCCCTCTTCCGGTTAAAACGGTTCTACAAGTGCTCCATAGGTTTTAGATCTGGAATATGAGGTGGAAAGCCATGACAACGAGATCACCAGAATGAGTTTGCTTCTAAACGATTTCTGGCACATAGAAGATGTGCATGTGCTTAGGGTGATTATCATGTAGTTAGACGTGCGATCATCTTTGTACCAGATGAAATTCCATGTCCTTGAAGAATTGGATGATACTTTTCTTTAATTAGGATCCTATTATATCTTTCAATATTGCCAAACCGAGCATGACCAAAGCAGCTAAAAGTTTGCTTGAGTAGGATTTAGTTTCTTCGAACCTCTCCAAGGTTAGTTGCATACCACCTTTTTAAATTCTCACTTCTTCTGCGATCTTACGAGGAAAGAATCCTTCAATACTTAATGGAACTATTTGTCCTTGTGTGCCATCACTTTGCCCTTTTTCCTACCCATCTTGGGCAGTGTAAAGGAATGAGAACTTTATTTTGTTATAATTTAGATCATTAGGAACAAAACAGTGTGCAATTAATATAGTTTACAGTACTGAAACACTAGCACGCATGTCTTAACTCCAATACGCTGCCAGGATTTAATACTGGAATTCTACAACGACTGGACTCAAACTTTTGCCTCCTACTGTATATATATATATATATATATATATATATATATATATATATATATATATATATATATATATATATATATATATATATATATTAACATATTTATAGATGTAATAATTTGTTATATGTTCTGCATATTTCTGCTTTATTTAAAATCTAATATTTTAGAAAAAAGAGCGGTCGAAAAATTTTTCTAAATGATGAATTTCACGATGTGTATTGCGTGGGTGTATAGTTTAAATATTTTTAGACGTTGCTTTTAAAGCCAAGTGCACACGACCTGATTTAGTCGGTCGATTAAATCCTTGCGTGTGCGATTAAACTTTTTGGCGATTTAAGTCGGCTGAGTGCAATCGCAATAATTTATATTAAAACAGTTGATATTTGCCGCGCCTGGCTTAAACTTCATATTTCAAAGTCATAATGATCTCTTTTGGGTTATTAATCATATTATTAAACACATTTTATACATACTCTAATTCCAATTATAATGGGAAAGATAAAAGACACAATGAAATTTAAATTTTCGTGATGACGATCATGCTGACTAAATTCGCCTTACATGCACCTGCGCAATTCAATCCGTGACAATTCTGATCATTAAAGTGACAAATTCACATGATCACTAATGATCAAGAGGTGCAGTATCAAATCAGCATGACATTCAAAACAAGATTCTTTTTAAATGATCGTGTATCTAAATATATAACTTTTCTTTTTTTATTAACAATTAGGTTGCTGCAACTATAATTACACGTTGATAGTCCGCTTGACGTCTTACCGACTAGACAAACTATGCCCGTGTTTAAAAAAAAAATTGAACAGATTTTTTTTTGCTGTGAAGGCTAAACAAATTTAAATTATGGAAAGAAACAACTCGATGAAGATAAACATCTCGTTAACAAAAAGTTTCTTTTCATGCCGAAGAATTACTTAGAATACGTTTGACTCCCCTGACCATGGTCATGGAAGATTCCAGAACATCATACGGAATGATGATATAGGTTATTTGTGACCTTGAAAGACCATCTTAAGATAGATTAAATTCCAACGATCTTAATTGAATTGTTTTGAAAGGAATTAAATTCCCGCATGATATCTGACTTTGGCTTTGCGTTAATTATTTTTCAAAACGAAGGTAATTAGGATTGATTCGTTTTATATGCATTTCTTTTTGACAACTATACTAATCTCGAGCTCTGATAAACAGTAAACTCCGTTGTTCAAATATCTTTTGATATAATTGCAGCACAATAAATTAAATTGCGCATTCATGAATTTCGCAGATTTTGAGAAAATCATGGAACATTTGCAATTTGCCCTAGCCGTTTCTCGCAAAGCAAGGCATATAAATATAAAAGCTGCCGGGGTATTATTTAGCTCATATGGGTTTATGTCAACTCTGCCTTCTCATCTTTTTTTTCTACAAACGTTTTGTACGGTATTCAACCAAAAAAATTGCTAAAACTCTGGTTTGGAAAAGCAGATATGCAGAATACTAATCAAAATTTTTAAAATCTACTACGGACTTTGAGTTCTTTTCATTTAACAGTTTACTATAAACTCACGAGGCTATAGTTTGATACCGCGCAATGCAAACTTCAGAATGTACATGTCGTATATGTCATCTTGTTTCATCCTGCTTGCTCAAGGTTTCTATATTTACTTCGAGATAAATACACCGAGAAGCTTCATTAGCATACTCAAGTTCTGCCCTGACTCATTCAGGCTATCAGTGGACGAATTAAATTTCGATTAAATGTCAAAAGATTGCACTTTATACCAGGTTTTACCCTGCGATGCATTCGATGAATAAGGTTTAAAACCAACGCTATTACCGGGCAATGTTTTTAACACATGCAGGGGATGATGTGATCGCTTTTATGACTTTATGTATGTATACAAATATATTATCACAGAATCTATTCGTGCTGAGAGTTATAATCGTTTAAATTCACGGGGTGCTTTCATTTAATCTCTTAATTATTCGCTATTAAGATTCCTGAATAAATAATTTCACGAATCGAAGCATATGAGAGTTTAAATTAAAAAAATTATCACGTATAGTAAAGAGTATATAAATATTTTTCTTTTGCTTCAGTAATTGACAATCCTAATCGGACGATCACTGAGCAATAATATATATGAAACGGTTTTATTGAAACGTTTATTTGCAGAAGTACAAATTTTATGAGAAGCCCAAATTATGGGTGAAGAGCTAAATACTTAAAAATGTCATTGTGTTTCAGTTTCTTTGTCGGAAACGAAAGTAAATTTGCATAATTTCAATCGGCAAGCAACATTTGACCTTGTCTTTGTTCAAAATCAAGACGTACGTGCTGTGTAGCTATTTGGTAGACATATTTCTATTGGCGCACGAAGCCCATGAGGAGCCCAATTAGTGGGCGAACGGCCATCGTGTTTCACTTTATTTGTGAAAACGTAAATTTGCATAACTACCAAGTAAACTTGTTGGAAACGAAAGTAAATTTGCATTATTTCAATCAGCAAGCAACATTTGACCTTGTTTTAGTTCAAAATCAAGACGTACTGTGTAGCTATTTAGTAGATATACAGATAATTCGTTTTACTGTAAGCAAACATATATCTATAGATATATATAAAATACCATGAGAAGCCCAATTTGTGGGGGAACTTTTTTTGGTGAAAACGTATATTTGCATAACTATTAATCAGCAGCGATATGACACAGCTGTGTATTTAGTAGACATAAATAGTTTGTTTTACAGCATTAGCAACGCATCTAAATTAGATATAATGATAAGAAAGACTGCTTGAAATTTTAAATTTTCAACAGACATAAAAAATCAAAACGCATTAAATAAATTTGAGACAATTAATAATTATAGTCTCAACTTACTGCCAGAGTTTCTACAATTTATCTACATATTCCAGTCCTATTATAGAAAATAGAATAGGAAAAAATACATGCAGGGTCAAAGAAAGCCATATTAATTTTTATGTTAACCCAACCTCTTCAATGTCTTCTGAAAGGATTACTCCACAAAATCTTCCCGGAGGTAAGCTGAATGTAAAAGAATAAATAATTCTAAAAATGTCTGAAGTTCATTCTGTTTGAAATAAGACTAAAATTCGAGTTGACACGTAACTGGCATACAACGGAATAGTATATTAAATTATAACTTCTATATAAATTTATTGATATTCCAGCCTATATAGAGACCAGTGTAAACTTCATAAAGGATGTGTCAACCAAAGAAATACGTATTCTTTTTCATTTTCTAAATTATTTCCTCATGCATATGTACACTGTGTTCGGTTAAAAATGGGGCTAGCTACTTAACACACAACATAGAGTTCACGCATTTAGTTTGAATAATTTCCCGCTCAAAACATTAGTATAGATGTGTTTGATATTAGTATTATGTCATTTAACTTTATTTAGTGATACGTCAAAGTAAAAAACTCTATAAGTGTTTCATTGTAGTCTGTCATATAGTGTTTGCATGACATTGACCAAGAATTAGAAAATACTTACGGCTTATATATTGCTTTTGTGATTTACGGTCGCTGTTAACTAATAACCGGGAGCATCTCTGAAAGAGTTGTTCTCGAAAAGTGGTTATATAACTTGACAATGATACATTTCAGCTACACTTTCACTCTGTTCAGGCATTCTGTTAATCGTCGATGAAATGTCAACATACTGAGTGATCTGTATCGCGTTATATTAGGAAAACGAAATTAAACATCTATGGTTTTCAAAAGAAACTTCTGAAGCGTAACCTTGCTTTGTTCGAAGTCGCGTAAACTATGTCGTAGTCAGTGTGCACTGCTAGTGTACACAATTAACATATATATGATCACACTTCCCACTGATAATCATGTCGTGTTTCCTTGTTTGAGATTTCCGTTTTATTATGTCATGTCGAGAAATCATGCAGACCGTTCGAATTTTGTTTTGTTTTGTTTCGTAATAATAAAATAATCAATAGCATTTCTCGTCATTGCTGTTCCTGAAAGAATCTCAGGCTTTACTGCACTTTAAACCTGAACTGCTATAATCATGAAACGAAAGCATGAAGCTATAATGATACAAAAGATTACTTGTAGACACGTGTGCCCGTGTTGCAAGGAATTCTTGCATAGCCCTTAAAATTTTATTATTTTAATTAGAAACATTTCAATTAATATACTTTTTACGATGATACACTATACATTTTCTAGAAGATGCTTTAGTATTTTCACGTTCACTGTTTTAGAAATACGTTTTTTTTAAGGGGGAGAAAGTGGGCATAACTTAACAGATTTAGCTTCCAAGTAACAATTTTGACTTAGCACTTATAGAACTTAAAATAAACTATCCCAACAGATTTTCTATTTAAGAAAAAGAAAATATTTTCCGTGTTTCTATAGCTACAGAGACACGCGTGGGAGTTTGGAAGAACGAGAAATAATCGGTGGGAAAACGAGCCCGCCATGTTATTTCGAGTTATCCCAAAATCCCACAAATGCCAGCTAAGTGTTTCTATTTAACAATTAGTCACCGAAGGCGAGGTGATTACTAACTTCTTATTAAGCAAGCGCGAGTTCCCTACCGAGAGATATCGGACCGGGTTTTTTTGAACAGACTGAGCTCGAAGAGCGAGGTTTGTACAAAAGATCGAGGTCCGATATTTCTCGGTAAAGACCGAGCAAGCGAGGTTAATAAAAAGTTTATTATATGACATAAGGGATGTATTTGCACTTACATATGTATTTGCACTTATATATATATATATATATATATATATATATATATATATATGTATATATATATATATATATATATATATATATATATATATATATATATATATAAAATTATATAAAACTGTTCTATTGGAGCAAAAAGCCCATGAGAAGCCCAATTTGTGGGCGAACGGAAATCGTGTATCAGTTTATTGGTGAAAACGTAAATTTGCATAAGTATTAATGAACTTGCTGGAAACGAAAGTAAATTTGCATAATTTCATTCGGCAAGCAACATTTGACCTTGTTTTTGTTCAAAATCAAGACGTGCTGTGCAGCTGTTTGGTAGACACACACACACACACACACACATATACATATATATATATATATATATATATATATATATATATATATATATATATATATATATATATATATATATATACAAATCATAAAAAGCTGTTCTATTGGAGCAAGAACCCCATGAGAAGCCCAATTTGTGGGGGAACGGCCATCGTGTTTCAGTTTTTTTTATGAAAACGTAAATTTGCCTAACTATTTATCCAGAGCGATACGACACAGCTGTGTATTTAGTAGACATAGATAGTTCGTTTTACAGCATTAGGAGCGCACCTAAATTAGATATGATTATAAGGAAGACTGCTTGAAATTTTAAATTTTCAACACACATAAAATAAAATAAAAACGCATTAAACAAATTTAAAGCAATTAATAGTCTCAGGCAGAAATACAGCTTACTGCCAGAGTTTCTACAATTTATCTACATATTCCAGTCATATTATGGAAAATAGAATAGGAAAAAATACAGGGGCAAAGAAAACCATATTATTTTTACGTTAACCCAACCTCTTCAATGTCTTGTGAAAGGATTTCTTTCCAAAATCTTTCCTTAGGTAAGCTGAATGTAAAAGAATAAATTATTATAAAAATGTCTGAGGTTCATTCTGTTTGAAATAAGACCAAAATTCGAGTTGACATGCAACTGGCACACAACGCAATATAGTAAAGATAGTAAATTATAACTTCGATTCTATATAAATTTATTGATATTCCAGCCTATATATAGACCAGTATAAACTTGATAAAGGATATGTCAAAGGAATACGTATTCCTTTTAGTTTTCTAACTTATTTGCTCATGTACACCGTATTCGGTGAAAAATGGGGCTAGCTACTTAACACATAACATGCATGGAGCTCGCGCATTTAGTTTGAATAATTTTCCGCTAAAATATCCGTATGATATGATGTGTTTGATATTAGTATTACGTCATATAATTTTATTTAGTGATACGTCAAAGAACAAAATTCTAGAAGTGTTTCATTGTAGTCTGTCATATAGTGTTTGCATGACATTGACCAAGAATTAGAAAATACTTACGGCTTATCACCCGTTCCTCGTGTTCTAAATCACATATAGCGAGAGTTCTAAATTTTAGAACGTCGGATATATGTGACACAGGTGATCACCTAAGCATCCCTAGATGCTAATTTATGCCAGCGCATCAGCTCTACAGCAATATCACAAAATGGCGGACTGATATGGCAGAGCAAAGTCGTCGGATGAAGCGCTTTAAACCAAGCAAAGTCCGTGTTAAAACTCAATGTACAAGTGGAAAGAAGATAGTAAGGTCTATTACAGTCCAGACAACCCCAAGTGTTTCAGAAGAACCTGAAGAAGACAACAATTTGAATTTAGCCAATAATGCCATTGGAGAATCTACATATTTTGCGGATACGTTCGAGAATGCTTTGTCCGAAGGAAATGAAGCTCAAGGCCAGGTTGAACAACAAACATTGTCAAAGCATCATCAGCGAAGAGTAAAGGAATTTAACAAATGGGAAGCAGTGAGAGAACAATTGCTCAAAGCTGTAGTTGAAGAGGAAGTCATTTCCAGCCTGACATGTTTCGCATGCCCGAATGAAGCAGTATGTCGTTGTCTCGACTGTGGACCAAGGCAGTTCTTTTGCTTGGATTGCATTAAAATAGAGCACCACGAAAAAAACTACTTTCACATTCCAGAAATACACAAGGTTTGTTGATATTATGTTCTTAATTTATAAAATGATAATGAAATCATTTAATAAATATATTGACCACCATCTGAGATTAGTGAGATACTGTAGATATTTGGAGACATTATGAAAGACTCAGCTAAACATTCAATTTTATAAGGTCTCGACACTTATTGTTTATTGGCCTGTTCATCTGTTACTATAAAGACTTCTGAATATTGTAAAAGTATGTCAATATCTGAATGCTTATTTATTTTGTGCTTTGTTAATTTTTTCTTTTTCTTTGTTCTTTCTTTAGGATGGATGTTTTAGGCCTTTAATGATCAATCATAAGGAAATTTCACTAAAGCATCAAACAACATGCCCCACCTCTCAGTCAAGGGATATTGTTTGTGTTGATCAACATGGTAAGCTTATAATAGATTTAGTTTTAATACATACATACACCATACACACATGCACACCTCTTTTGTCGTAATGATAGCTTTTCTTCACTTCAATCAATTTGCACTACCTATAATGTATTGATTGTTTTCAAACCATTAATAATGTCATTTGTGTTACATTATTATGTAGGTTTCCAACACAAGAAATCCATCAGTTTCTGTAGTTGTGAACCAGATACCGTAACACTGGTTAAGTTGCAGTTATGGCCTGGATCTGCTGTCCGTCCTTTAGTTGCCTTTCATTTTAAGTTTTTGCTGCTTGCTGAAAAGTTTCTTCTTGAAAGTCATGTCTCGTTGTCAAAATTCTGCGACACTATGGGCCTTGGCAAATCATCACTACATCCTAAATGGGTATTAAGCAGTTATCATTTAATACAGTATCATTTGATAATTTTGATAGTGTATACATTTATTATTTACAGTGTAACCACACTCAATAAATTTTCATATTTTATCCTTTAGATTCAAAGTCTTTACAGAGTTTTAAATGATGATACTTTTGATGAATTCAGGTAAGTATTTTATTTTTAATACAATGTGGCACGAAAAAAACATAGTACGGTAACAACAAGTTAATTATTGTCCACGAGTTGGTTATCCTGTCCCTTAGTGTTCTTAACCCATTGCTGACTGCCTGGCAGCAATGGGTTTATAATATACTCTTCTTGCTATTAGGCTGGCTTTCAGGTTAATTGCAGTTATCTGCTTGGATAGATACCTTCCATAATCATAATACTGTGTACATTACCTGCTTTAGGTACCATAATCACTGTTTAAAATCCATTAAGTCACATCATGGGGAGCAAACTAATTACAAGATGTGCCCTTTATGCCCTCAGGTATAAAATGTTTCTTATATTCAATTAGTCATATAAATAGCATAATTTTGTGTATTATTATATTGTTGTAAGTAATGTATCTGAATTAGTCAAAAATAAAATAACTTGTGTCTATTTATTTTTATACTTATTGTTGTTAATTAGAGTAAAATTATTTGGTGCAGTGGTGTAGTACATGCTACACTGTATGCAAATTCCAAATCATCAGTATATTTATTCATTTCTTTAGAAATTCATTGTTTTCGCAATTTGAAAACAAGTAAATATTTGCTAACACGACAAGGTTGTTGGTCTGTCTATGTCACTGGTCTGGTGTTATACAGAGTAAAATATATAATGAGACTGGTTGGAGCAGGCCTTGGTGACATTGACATAATCTTTGGCTAACAACCCAAAACATGTGAAACCTACTGCACTCCTTCACTAACTTATCTTGACTTTCGCTATGTACTTGTTATAGACTGATGATGGTGGAATTCTTATTGAGTCCATGGATGGCTGTTTTGGCTTGGTGAGGAAAAAATCTGCTGGTGTAAATCTTTTCCCCCCACGACATAGTGGAACCTTCTTTGCAGAGCAAGAAAGTGTGGACAAGTTTGTTGATGATTATGGGAAAAAAGCTGAAGAAGCACCAACAGTAAGTAGTAGGCTAAAGCCTTTCT